TGGGCCCATGAGCCATGGCCGCTGAGCCTGCACGTCCGGAGACTGTGCTCCGCAACGGGAGAGGCCACAGCAGTGAGGGGCCCACGTACTGCCCCAAAAAAAAAAAAAAAAAAAAAAAAAAAAAGAAGGATCCACAGGAAATGTGCAGTAGTGGCTGCCACCGGGGAGGGGAGCTGGGGGCGCCTTGACCACCGAAGATGCGAACAGAACAAGGCTCCCCAGTTTGCGTGCTGGGCCCAGCGGGGGCAGGGTTCTGTCCCCAGAGCCAGGACGGGCCTGACCCATGGCAGGTCCTGGTCGGTAAACATCTGATGCCAGTGTGGATGGCGGGCACTCTGCCTCTATACGATTCTGTGCTTTCTTTTTTCTTTCTCCTTGGCCACGCGGCGCAGCTTGTGGGATCTTTGTTCCCTGACCAGGGATCAAACCCGGGCCCTTAGCAGTGAAAGCGTGGAGTCCTAACCACTGGACCGCCGGGGTATTCCTTACAGTTCTGTACTTTCTGAGCCTCAGACCACACTGGACACGCCACCCCTTCCAGCCTACTGGACAGTCTGGGCTGAGACCCAGGCGTCTGCGTTATAAACACGGCACGGAGCCATCCTCAGGCCAGGGCTATGCTGTGTTCAAACTGCTTTCTGAGGCAAGTCCTGCAGATTTACTGCGGGAGAGGATTTTCCTTTTGGAAACTTGAGTTGTAAATTAACCCGGCCATGCTATTCACCTCCTGCCTGCCTTTGGCCACCTGCTGCTCTGCTCTGCCCTCAAGGCCCTGTAAGGGCCACTCTGTCCCCTCACTAAGGGCCTGGCTGGCTTGTCCCTGCTTCACGACGCCCCTGGCATGAGTGTCCTACTGTTGGCATGTAGGGAACCGCCTGTGCTTAGATGCAGACGTGGCGTCCCCTGCCGGCGCCCCCCCCCCCAGGGGAACGAGGGCCTGTGCCACGGCTCAGGTCTGGCGGGGCCAGAGGGCCACCCCCAAGTCCCCATAGGAGGCAGAGCCCTCACCGTGGTGACAGATTCATCTCCTTGGCCACTCGCTGGGACATGGCCATGGCGGCCACTCGGCGGGGCTCCGTGACACCAACGATGCTGTTGTCACTGGGGAGAACACAAGGCATCAGGAGGGCTCCGCCCCACCCGCCTGCCCCGAAGTCACACGCAGCTCTGGACATGGCCCTCACTGGGGGTGACAGGACACGGGCGCCAGGCAAGGCACCGCACCATCACTTAACAACAGCAAAAGGGAACGGCCCACAGGGCATTCTACAGGAGATGCTCCGATGATCACAGGGCCAAGGGGTCCAGGCAGCCGCAAACAAGAACGAGGCCTAGGTGGACCTGAGCCTGCAGCCGGGAAGCTTGTCCAACCCAGCCGAGCACACGTGCCTCCACAGAACCTACCCAGGGGACGGGTGGTGGATTCTGGGCAAGACAGAGTTGACCCAGCAGGCCCGAGGCTGCTCTCCCTACAAAGCTCTGCTTCCAGGCAGCCCCTGGCTGGTGTCTGGGATCCTGGATTTCAGGAGGGCCCCCGCCTCTCCCTGACAGACAAGAGGGGCTCACTGCGCCTGAACTGTTTATACAAACAAGGTGGCTCATGCTGACACCTGCTTTCCTTTGGGGAGTCTAGAATTGGGTAGGTACGAGGCAGAGGGCGCCTGTGTGACCAGCCCCCAGTAAGAACCCTGGGCGCTGAGCCTCTACTGGGCGTCCCTGTTTGATGACATCTCACACGGGCAATGAAGCGTGTCCTGTGTGACCCCCGCCCTGGGAGAGGGCTCTGGGGGCCTGTGCCTGGTTCTCCCAGACTTCACCCCATAAGCCTTTCCCTTTGCTGGCTGTGCTTTGATTCCTTCACTGTAATATATCACAGCCGTGAGTATGACTACATGCTGGGTCCTGGGAGTGTTCCCAGCAAATAGCTGAACCTGGGGGTGGTCTTGTGGACCCTGACACACGCGGGTCGGAAGGGCCAACAGGAGTTGACACGCCATCCCTCCCACCAGGGACCAACCTAAATGTTTTACACAAATTCAGTCATTTCATCTACATAACAACCCCGTGAAGTAGGTGCAGTGATGAACCCCATGTCACAACTGAGGAAACTGAGGCCCAGAGAGATTAAGGAGCTTGCCCCAAGTCACACAGCACGGCAACGGCAGAGCCGGAATTAGATCCCCAGGAGCCCTGCTCCTAACAACTTCTGGGGGCCACGTCTGTCACCTGAGGGACCTGTGGGGACCCTGTGGCCAGCCCCCACCTGCTGTAGCCTGCTTCGTAGAGGAACTGGGGCACCTGGGTGGTCTTCCCGCTGCCGGTCTCGCCGCACACGATGACAACGGGGTGCTCGGCCACTGCCTCCATGATCACTTGTTCTTCAGAGAGAATCGGG